GCAGAGGATCATTTTGCATATTTTCCATTGAGTCCATTCATAGTAGACCATGTGGTACAAAGATTGTCTCAAATGTGGAGTCCTACTGTCTTGTATTCCTAGTGCTGAGAGTGGAAGTTACCTTGAGTTTCATTAATAGAATAGCCGCAGTGTGGCGGCATGTGCTTGTAATCCAAGCAGGCTGGGCAACTTTAAGCCATCTTGTCTCAAAATTTACATTTATGTATTTGGCTTTTTGAGATAGTCTTGCCAGTGTAGTTTAGGCTTGTCTTAAACTCCATAGCACATGCTGACCTTAAACTCCCAAGCAATCCTGCATCAGCCAAATGCTGGGATTATAGGCATGGTCCACCAAGCCCAGCCTCAAATTTTTAAAATTAAAGGGATCTCAGGCCAACCCAGGCTACATAGTGAGTTCAAAGCCAGTTTGTACTGTGTAGACCCTGGCTCCCCTAAAGGAGAGGACGTAATTCAGTGTCATGGGATCAGTCCCTACCACTGAAGAAAAAGTGAAAATGTTAATTTCCAGTTGGCCTGTAAAACCAGAACTGTTTATTACCTGGCTCCTTAAAAGTTGGCCAACCCCTGTTGCAAAAAACTAGTTTCAGAAATGGGGAGCAGTGTAGCACCACAAAGCACAACCTACACCAGTTCAGAGCCTGATCCAATGTTTTGAGGAGGCTAGGTTTGCAAATGGATTGGTTCCTGCTAGCCCACCAGGCTGCATTTGCAGTGAGGGGGCACAAGTGGTACACTGGGGAGAATGGGTTCTCAGGCCAGAGCAGCTACCAATGCTCTGAAGGACAGGGTGTTGAGTTGGTAAGGAAAGAAAAGGGGGGGGCTTAGAGGATTCCACGTGGCAAGTGGTGGCAGCCTTTGGGACATGGGAGACCTGATAAGCTGGGTCTGGCAGGTTGACAGCATTCTGTCCAGGTTGACGTCACACTAAGGTGAGCAGGTTGAGATGGGAGCAGAATTTGGACGTTGGCCTTACCTTGGTGCTGGGCATGGAACCCAGGGCCTCCATGAAGAAGACACTATCTTGAGTCACATCCCTGGTCCCCAGTGTCCCCAGGATCCTCCTACTTCATGTTATATCAGTGTTAACAGTACACAGGCAGGTTTTGGGCTGCTGGGTACCAAGGGAGCCCTTCCTCTGAAGGCAGGGTGATGTGGGTGAGTCCCCTGGGTCACAGGTTTTGCAGACCTCAAGGCACTCCCCAGGCTCATGGGAAAGTCCTGGGCATTGCCCTATGCCTGGTCCCTCAGGAAATGGTAGAAGAGGCTAAGGGGACTTCAGATGGTGCCCCCCGCCCAAAACAGCAACAAGAAGTGCTGTGTGTATAACTAGTGCCGCAATAGAAGGCACGTGTTCTCTATCTTGTTGCCAGAAGAGTATTCTCAGATACCAGCTTTCATGGCTGCAGCCCTTAACTGGTATGGGACCAGCACCTTTGACAGCTATGAGTGCATCCTTTTCAGTCAGCATCAGGTAGATTTTATCTTTTGGTACTGGGGATTAAGCTCAAGTCCTTGTTTGCAGGGCAGGTGGGCAGGACCACTGAGCTAAATCCCTGGCCCAGGTAGCAGATTTTTTTGGCACTGGGAATCAAACTCAGGGTCCTTGTGCTTGTGAGGCAGGTGCCAGAACAACTGAGGTAGCAGATTTTTAAGCACTTCCTTCACTTTCTCACAACAGGCAGCAAGACACTTGTGTCCCCCTGGGATGTGAAACTAATGCTCCTGTTTTGTTAGTGGCATCACAGATTGTAGTTACCTTTCCATTGGTGCCTGGCTTCCTGGATGTCCCGTGTACTAGAGGGAGGGCAAACCCAGGGCTGTGTGGCTTCCTCGAGGTGCCCGGGACCCAATCGTCTCAGGTTAGGGTTCATGGGCCGCATCTAGCTTGCCTGCCTGGTGGTGCACAGCCTGGCCACTCACATTGCCACTGCAGGGAGTTGGGTGGCTGCGTAAGAGACCACAGATGCACGTTCAGCCTGTGCTCCTGGCCATCACTGGTGCACTTCAAGGAAAAGGGACACACAGCTGGGCCAGACCCTGGGCTTTGTCTTCATGAAAGAAAGATCCCACATTGAGAGCATAATGTTTTTCAGTGCTGGGGATTGAATCTGGGGAGGCAGGAGTGGCATGCCAAGTGTACTGCTGTCTCTGAGCTACATTTCAGCCCTTTTTTATTTTTATTTTTTGTACTGGGGATCAAACTGAGGACCTTGCGCTTTCAAGGTGGGTGTGGTGCCACTAAGCTAAATCCCTGGCCCCCTTTTTTATTGTTTTTGAGTCGAGGTCTCCTTTAGTTGCCTGAGCTGCCCTTAAACTTGATTCTCCTGCCTCGTCCTCCAGAGTAGCTGGGATTACAGTTGTCACTACCGCACATCCTGATAGGACTTCTGAAGTTTGGAGTCTTTCACACTTCATCTAATTATCAGAAACCTGCTGGGCCCTGCCTGTTGCTCTACCACTTGCTATAGGTGACATGCAGCTCCCACCATTGCTTGTATCTGCCCAAACCCAAGAATTTTTTTTTTTTGGCGGGGGTACCAGGGATCTAACTC